AACAAAAGAAAAAGCTTCTTTAATGACAGCAGAAGTGTGAGCTGATGCACGTGTGACGCGGCGGGTGGTAAAGGAAACCAGCACCGCATTTTCCTGGGAAGCCTTGGAAAGGCGCCGCTGCTCGTATCGCAGACCTGCGAAAATCGGAAACTGTAAAAGCTTTTTGCCCTCCGATGGATCGCAGCCGGTCGGGTTTTATGGACGGGACGTTTATTGCAGACACGCTCCTTCTCTCCCTCCATGGCTCTTCGGCATTAATATTCCCATTTCAATCACCTGTCGGTCACTTTGTTAATGTCTGTCTGAAAGACTGAAACTGTATCGCACTGGCAGCTGAGAGACCAGTACGTACCCGTCCCAGCCCATTTAAACCAGTATTGCTTGAGACAAAATATAAAACGTTAGTATTTCACATAATTACTATCAGTAAGACCGACATCAATCCTGAATTACAATCAAGGCGATATAGTGAATTCCAGTTAAACCAGCAATAATCTGATGTTTAGAGTGCTGTAAGAGTACTAGCTGCTCTGCATTGTACACCTTTGAAGGGAAAGCGGAACATTTGGTAGGAGTGATTTTCTGTTTTCTTTTTCTTTGTTTATCAGTATAACTTTATGTGTCTTACACACAGACACGTATATAAATTCCTTTTTATTCTCCTGTCAATATAACTATGTTTATTACGACATACTTCAGCACCTTTCATTTCTCTGCAGGTTATAATCCGACTGTATACATCGTTTGCGGCAAATAAAAATACTTGAATCTTGAATTCGAATGGAAAGATCACACACGTGAATTTGGGGAACCTTAACTGCGCCTGCGTCTAAATCATTCTGCCTGTATTTCACCAGGGAGAATATATTGCTAATCTAACTCGTAACTGTATACAAAACTCCTTCATCACCGCGTTTAAAGGGGAATTCGACCATTTCTATATAGTAACGTACGCGTGACCTTGAAAAGTACATCCATGTCTTCTGATGTAGATTATAATCATACAATGTCTCTTAATGCGAACAATTTCCAGACCATTATTATAGAGGTTCTGCTTCTGTAAACAAGTTTCGGAAAGGCTGTAGAGACTCAGTCCAAAACAATAAAGGAACCAGTGGGTGTCTGATGTTTCTTTCTAAACGGTCCGGGGGGAGATTCAGCTGTATGAACCGGGGGACGCGTGAGTAGGATCCTGCCCGGCTTTCCCACACTAGTCACCCATTCATGGCTCCGTATTCTCATGGGGA